GTCCTCAGCTGCATGGCGACACCAGCAAATCAGAAGGTCCGCATCCCAACGAAGCTTCGCATTCACGTGATTCACGTGTCGATATATGACGTTGTCTCCGAATATCGACTGCACGCGTCTCCGAGTAAAATCTGCCGGACGCACGATACACGCGCGGGCAGAGTAGCGTGTGGTGTAACCTCGCTGCAAGCGTCGGTGGAGCAGATGGATGATGGACGGTCGTGCGTGTGTTTGGCGGCTCCTTACTCTAGGGGCGTTCGCTGGCCCTGCTGTGCTTTGGGCGACAGCCAATCAGTTCAAGACTCGCTCCTGACCTCTCGGTGTATACAGAGCGTGTGGCAAGTAGGTGGGGCAAGGTCATCCGGGACGCAACCACAGCAGTGCGAATGGAAACGCGCAAAGCAGTCAGCGAGCGCATTCACGATCGCAAGCCGATCAAATTGGATCAAATTACGAGCATCATTTTTCGATCGCGACACGTATGGTCATGCGGGGTTGGGCCCAGTATGGATAGCATGAACAAGGAAGGGGAGTGGAGGGGGGCGAAACATAGTGACGTCGATCGCTCGCCGGAAGGGATGGGAGCGCGAAGAGTCTTTTGCGGGGAATGTAAGAACGAGCCGTGAAGTGAGACAAGAGCGACAATGCGGAAAGAGCACATTAGAGTTCGTCCTCTGACTCCACGGTCTCTCCTCTCTTGCGTCTGGCCATGCGCTCCTTCTTTGCTTTCCTGGCCTCGGCAGAAGAGAGCTTCTTAGCCTTCTTCTCCTCGATGATCTTGTTGCCCATGGCGTCGAACTTGTCCTCCTCTTCGTCCTTCTTCTTCTTGTCGATACGCTCGCCGCTGCCTTGTCCCTCGACCCAGTTGTGGCCAGAAGCGTGCAGAGTGCCATCGCGCATGGCCCAAATTTCCTTGCAGACACCGCGAGAGAACTCTTCAGAGTGAGTGATGATGGCCACGCCTCCCTCGTAGTTCTCCAATGCCTTGATGAGGGCAGCAAGAGATTCACGATCCAAGAAGTTGGTGGGCTCGTCGAGCACGATGATGTGGGGCTGACGCCATGTGGCAGCGGCCAAGACGACCTTGACCTTCTGACCACCAGAGAGACCTCGCATACCGGAGTGAGACACGAACTCGGCGTCGAGACCGAAGTCAGCAAAGTGCTTCTCGATCTCACGACGAACCAAGGGTCGGTTCATACCGGCACGTTGAGCTTCGCGGCTATCGACGGCGAGGACCTTCTTCTCGAAACCACGCTTCAACAGCTCGTCACGAGGCAGCCAGACGTTGTCTGCGCTACTCATGGCCTTGAAGGAAACTTCGTACTGGAAGCTGTTCTTCAATTTCTTACGTCCGACAATGTCCTCGATGATGCGCTTGACACCTTCGTGTACGTAGACTTCACCATTCTTCATGGCTTGCTGCTCCTCTTCGGTCAGCTGGCGGGTAGCCTTCATGTGCTCCTCCAAATCTTCACCTGTTTGGTATCGCCAGAGCATGTAGTCCAAGGGAGTCTTGTCGAGGTGCTGGTCAATGTGGTGGAAAGCGTGCTGTGCGACGTAACCGATGACCAGGTTGGGGTGCTTCCACGCCTCTCCAGAGTTGGGCTCAGTGTCACCGACAATGAGCTTCACCAAAGTCGACTTTCCGGAACCGTTAGGACCCAGAATGGCGACACGGGAAGAGAGCGACAGCTGCATCGAGATACCGTTCAGCTGAGGTGCAGGTGTGTTGGGGTATTGGAAGTGCACATTTCTCATCTTAACCAAAGACTTCTCCTTGGTCTTGACACCATCGAGAAGGGGAGGGTCTGGCAGCTTGAAGGACAAGTTGTCGTCGCCACCGCCGAGCTCGAGGTAGGCCTTCGCCTCAGGCACGCGCTTGACGAAGTCGGTGAGGGTGCCGGGATAACGCTTGATCTTGAAGCGGTTGAGGTGGAGAATATCAGTGCAGACGTTGTTCAAGAATTGAGAGTCGTGCGACACGATAATTGAGGTGGCATCAGTGTTCTTGAGGTAATCGGTGATCCACTTGACGTTGATAACGTCCAAGTGATTGGTGGGCTCGTCAAGCAGCAAGATGTCTGCCTTGAACAGAACGGCACGCGCCAAGGCAAGCTTCATCTTCCAACCACCGGACAAAGCGGCAATGGGACCCTTTTGGCGGCCCTCATCAAAACCCATTTCGAGCAGCGTCTTGCTAGCGTCCGCATGGTTGGTCTCCAGGCGCTTGTCAGCGACGATGAAGTCAAGAATGGAGATGTCACCCTCAGATCCGTCGAGATCGTGCTCAACGTACCAGGTGCGGACCTCCTCGGGAGAAGGGAAACCCTCAACCTGACCGTTCTGGATGGCACGCATCAAGGTGGACTTGCCAGATCCGTTACGGCCGCAAAGACCATAGCGGTGGGCACGCTTCAAACGCAAGGTGGCGGTGTTGAGCAGGATCTTGGCACCGTATGCGAGAGAGAATTGACAGTTGCAAAGGTCTTCGCCTTCCTCCTCATCCTCGAACACCTCAGCATCCTCGCTGGTGCTGCGGGCCAAAGCCAAGAGGAGCTCGCGAACAACAGCCTTGCTCTTCTCTTGGTCAGCGTTCTTGAACAAAGTGACGTAAGGCCCAAGCGTAGTCTCCCACTCGCTCTCCTCGAAGTTCCTTGCGTTGGCAAGGTTGGTGGCAAGTTGAGCAACGTGGTGAGTCAAAAGCTCAGGGCCGTTGAGAGTTTGTTGACCAAGAGCCTTCTGGACGAGCTGGAGCGTCTTTTGGATGTCCACATCCTCCAGAGGCTTCAGGTTCGTGCCGTCGGCATCCGCGGGCAGCTGACCGATATCACGCAGAGTCTTGATAGCACGCTGAACCACGCTTCGTGCTTCGGGGTCAGCCATCGCGGACTCGACTTTGATCAGGCCGGGCAAGAGCTTGGGCAGGAATGGACGGACGGTACGCTCGTTGTCGACCAGCTTGGACATGTTGTCGATGATGACAGCGCACTTTCGCTTAGTAGCAGTCGGTCTCTCGTTGAGACCACGCTGCAGCAAGGGGCCCATAAGGGCAAGAGTGGGGGAGTCGACCTCCGAGACGAAGGTCGTCGCGCCCAGCAGTTGGATGGTCTTGGGGACCTCTTCCACGGGATGAATGAGAGAGTTGATGAGGGCAGGGATGAAGCGCTCAATGTCCTTGTTGGAGATCAAGGCGCAGAGCTTCTTCAACGCAGCGCGAGACGCCTTCTGAACGTCTGTCTTGGTGTCCCAGATGACTTCGCTCATCACCGGAATGATCTCCGGCATGGCGCTCGCCATGCGCTCGGGTGCAGCCTTGACCAGAGTCTCAAGAAGAGAGACGCAGCCAGTCTTGACTTGCCACTTGCCGGCAGTGCGTGCCTGCTCGAGAATGACCTTGAGAAGCTGAGGAACGGACCAAGGACTCATAGACTTGACAAAGCTGGTGAGGGAAGCCAGAACAGCCTCGCGAACAGGCTTCTCCTTGTCTCCAAGGGCCTCAACGAGAGGAGTGAGGAGGTGAGCGAAAACGAAAGGCTCGAGTTCGTGGCCGACACCTTGGTCACTGAGCTTCTTGACGAGCACTGCCGCGCCTTCCCTGGCAGCTGCGTTCTTCTTGTCGCCCAGGCCCTTAAGCACGACCTTCTCGATGCCGAGAACGGTGAATGCATGAGGTCCCTCAATCTTGACAAGGTTGACGAGCTCTTGCGCGGCCTCCTCTTCGCCGGAAGAGAGAAGCCTGTCAGCTTCGATCTTTGCCGCCTTCTTCTCAATGGCGGCGTTCTCGGAAGCAGCAGCTTGAGCTGCTGCAGAGTCCTTGAGGCCCTTGGCATCAGCCGCCACAGTGGCAGGGACACCAGCAGCTTCAGGTTGAGCGGACGCCATAGTGCTGTGACGACAAGAGAGCTTAAGGTGAGCGTCGTGTGTCTA